ACTCCTGATGTTCCACCTCTTCCCTCCACCTCCTCTTGATTACTACCCACATGGTGTTGTAAAGCAATGGCACGAATCAACTTCCGCCTGCACATGCCCCCTGCCCCTGATCCCTCTCCCTCTCCTTCTCTCCCTCTCCCTCTCCCTCTCTCCCTCTCTCCCGACCCCTTCCTCCTCGCTTCTCTCCTACTCTCCCTTGACAACGTCCATCTCAAGGATGGAGTCAAGGAGAGAGCTTCTGCTGCCCTCGTCCTTGTAGATGGTCAGCTGCGACTGATATTGCTTGAGCAGCTTTTGCTCCTCCTTGCTGCTCTCACTCTGCCTCGCCTCCTCCTGCTTCCTCCTCTCCTCCTCCTCGTCATACATTCTCAAGAACTCCTGCTCCTCCTTCCCGATCGCCTCCTCAAGCTCCTCCACTGCCTTCGCCCTGTCCGCCGCCTGCACCCAGCGGAAGACAGGGTCCGACCGGAACCAAGTCAGCTGCCTCCTTACAAACTGGCGCGAGACGGACTGGAAGTCCTTGATAAATGCCTCCAGCTCCCTGTCCAGATCCTTGCGATCCGCCCCTCCCCCATCCTCATCTTCATTCTCCACAGCAGGTCCAGTGCCTGCCGGTAGCCAATCGCTCTCTCAGCAGGGAGATGCTCCTCCTGCGCTACAAGCTCCTTCCCTGGACCCATCCTGAGCTTCCCGGAGGCCACCAGCGACGAAACCTCCTCGAGGAAACCAGACTGGAGCATGAGCTCGCACCGCAAGTCGATGTCGCGGAAGATCTCCAGGCGGCTCCTGTACAGGAAGAAGCAGCGGAAGTCGAGGTCGGTGCAGGAGAGAGCATGCGAGACCTGGTCGACAGCAAGGGACTTCCCTTGCGGTCTCTCGAAGGAGGAGATCGGTTTCCCTGTCGTGTACGATACCTCCAGCATGCGCTGGAGACGTAGCCAGTCGTTGCCGTGCAGCCCATCGAAGTAGCGCTCGTCCAGGCTGCGGAAGCGATTCGCTGCCTCCTCCCACGAGCCCTCGCATGCCAGGATCGCACTCCTTGCCTTCTCCTCCGCCTCCTCCGTCGGCTTCGGCGCTCCCGGCCGCCCAAACACCAGCCATTGCAGGTAAAAGCCGGTCCCCCCCACGACGATGGGGAGCTTCCCGCGGGAGCTGATGTCTCCTATGACAGACCGAGCATGCGCAGTGAAGTCGGCGGCATTGTACTCCTCGGTCGGCTCCACCACGTCGAGAAGATGGTACCTGACGCTGGCTCGCTCCTCTGCCGTGGGCTTGTTGGACCCGATGTCCATCCCCCTGTACACCTGCACCGAGTCAGCTGAGACGAGCTCAGCATCAAGTTTCTCCTTCTGCGCCAGCGTCTCCGCAATGGCAGACTTTCCCACAGCCGTCGGCCCAGAGATCACTACAACCTTGATCCTGCTCCCCCCTCCGCCCTGCTCCCCCTCCATGCTGGAGGACAGCAGGCTCATCGCCCCTCCTCCCACGTCGCTCCTCCTCCTCCTGTCCTCCGTCCAGCCCCACCTTGTCGTTCTGAGCAGGCGCCCGGCTCGGAAGGAAGAGTTCTCGACCCGCTGGCACGCGAACCCGATCGACGCGGCTGGAGGGCAGGAGCCAAAGGCGATCCTAGCGCAGAGGAGAGGGAGGAAGCAGAGGGGTGGGGGGCTCGAGCAGAGGAGGACAGGACAGGAGCTCTCAGCTGCGAGGACAGAGGAAGAGCAGGCTTCAGACTGGCAAGCATGGCGGCCGCGCTTTTAAGCGCTGGACATGCCCTGCCGAGGCTGCAGGGGCGGATGGAACGATAATCCAACAGCTAGTCCTGATATGTCTTGGTACCCCCATATCTTCTTCATTTTCAACCCGGTATGTGGGTAGGGTACTTTGTTTTTTTTCATCCGATCCATTGGGCGCATCCGCCATGCGCCTGCTATGGCTGAAGACACTCGGCCTGTCGCTGCTCCTCCTCCGCTCCTCCAGCCTCCTCCTTCCCCTGTCTCATCCTCCATCTCTCCAGTTCACGCCCATGCTGAGGTCTGCCGTGCTCTCTCCTCTCTGCCCCAGGCTGCGAAGGGGGAAGAGGAGGAGTACCTTTGCTGGCACTCTTGGGAGAGGGATACACATGCAGGCCAGAGGAGGGGGAGAGGAGGAAGGGAGAGCAGGAGATACGTGCTATCAGGAGAGGATCGTTGTGTGCGGCGGAGGGATCAACGGAGCGAGCATCGCGTACATGCTTGCAAAGAAGGGCAAGCGTCCGTTGCTCATCGACCGGGAATGGGAGGAGCGGGGCAGGCATACGTTCGACCATCTCGACTGTGTGATGGGGCTGATCCCATCAGACTGGTACAGGGAGCGATACCTCGAGAACGCCTCCACCAGGACCTTCTCCCTCCATCATGCATGGCAGGCTGAGCTGGAGGCCCTCGGTCTGGGGTACGGAGGAATGAGCAACGCAACGATCCTCGAGCCTATCACGCACACTGTGAGCAAGATGCTCTTCGACAAGGAGCGAGCTCTCTTTCTGAAGCTCTACAACGAGACAGATGCTGATCCCTCCGAGTTCTTCCCCAGCACTGAGGAGATCTGCCGGAGGTTCCCCTGGCTGAGCCCTGAGTTTGTCTTTGGAGCATACTACGTCAACACTCAAGACACGGCGAAGAGGGTGAGGGAGGAGAGACAGAGACAGAGATAGAGACAGAGATAGAGACAGACAGCAGACAGACAGACAGACAGACAGACAGACAGACAGACAGACAGACAGACAGACAGACAGACAGACAGACAGACAGACAGACAGACAGACAGACAGACAGACAGACAGACAGACAGACAGACAGACAGACAGACAGACAGACAGACAGACAGACGGACGGACGGACGGACAGACAGACAGACAGACAGACAGACAGACAGACAGACAGACAGACAGACAGACAGACAGACAGACAGAGGAGAGAGAGGAATGAAGGCAGGCAGGCAGGAAGGCAGGCAAGGGGGCAGGGAGCCAGGTAGGTGTGAGCGTGTAGTGACTCTGTGCAAGGCGTCTCCTCGGGAGCTGAGAAACAGCTTGCTGCTGGCGGCGATTGAGCTCGGGGCTGAAGTTCGAACGGAGAACGTGACGAGGGTTGAGGTAGTCGACGCTAACACCACGTAAGTGCAAGGAGAGAGTGAAGCAGCTGATGTTGTATCCTCCTCATACTCTGTTATGGAAGGCAACAGAAGTTCAGAGTGGTGACGGATAGAAGCGAGTTGCTCGCGGACAAGATCGTGCTTGCCATGGGCCCTTGGGCAAAGGAAGCATGCAGCCAGTAGGAGCAAGGAGTGAAGGAGGCGAGACGAGCTGACATGCACTTCCAGATGGTTTGACATCGACATCCCCTTGCAGACCTGCATTGCATATGCGTCCGTCCTCCGCGCGACACCTTTCGATGACCCTGAGGATCCTTGCTGTGTGAAGACTCTTGTTCCATGGCAGAAGGTAGGAGCAGCTTGCGAACGAGGGAGATTGGCAGATAGACGCGCAGTGCTCTCTAGATAAAAAACGGCGCAGAAAGGCTGACGAGCAGAGGAGGGGTAGAGGAAGTAGAGGAGAAAGTGGTGAAAGTGAGTGAAGCAGGAGGAGGAAGAGGAGAATGGGAAGGAGGAGGAAAAAACGAATAGGACAAGGAAGAGATAGTGGAGGAGGAGGAGGAGGAGGAGGAGGAGGAGGAGGAGGAGGAGGAAGGGGCAGGGAGGGGATAGATAAGTTTTTCCTTAGGATGCGGATTTTCCGGATGACTACGAGCTCATCGTGGTTCCGAGGAACGGCAGCATGACCTGGGTGAGCAACCGCAGGGAACCTTCTTGCTGAACCCCCTGCTGGACTTCTACTGGCCCCCTGCTGGTTACGTGTGCGGTTGACAAGGCTCTGGCAGCTCGGGGACGTGGCTGATGACGTGGACCCTTCGACCCTAACGGATCCGCGAAAGTGGGCCGAACACTTTGAGCTGAGCGCGAAACATGCTCGTGCCCTCCTGTCGGGGGCAGTGGATCTGATCCCGAGCCTCCGCGATGCTGAGATCATACATGCCGGTGATACGGAGAAGCTCTTCCTCTACCTTTTCCTCCTCCTGTTCCCGCTATTCCTTTTCCCCCGCTTTCCCTTCACTGCCATCCTTCTACTTCTCTTCTTCACACCTTCACACATTCCTTATTTCTCTCCTTCTCTCCGTCTCGTCTCGTCTCGATCATCTCTCCTCCTCCTCCTCCTCCTCCTCCTCCTCCTCCTTCTGCTTCATCTTCATCTAAATCTACATCTACATCTCCTCTTCTCTCTCCCGCTCTACCTCTCTTCGTCTCCTTCTACAGCTTTGCTTGCTCTATCTGCCTCATCTGCATTGATGGAGCTGAGGTACAGGGATCAAGTTCAGCGGGCTGGTCAAGGACCGGAGGTGACCCGTCGCCCCTCCCTCGCGTTCATGGCGTGAAGGAGCGCGCAGGCCGATCATGGGAGATCTCCCCGGGCTGAGAGGAGCGTACATTATCACCGCATGCGCGCAAGTCTCCATCTTTGTGGTGAGAGAATGTTCAAATGACTTAGTTGCCCTGACGCCTCCTCCTTTTTCTGCTGCTCCTGCTCCTGCTCCTGCTCCCCCCCCTCCAC